GATGACCCAGAGAGTTTATTATCAGCATGTCGTTTTAATAAATGTTTCAAAAATATCTTTTTTTTTACATTTGAAACCAGACAAAAGAACTGCGACAGACATATTCAGCTCTTACATAAAGCATCGTTAAACAATGATTTAAACATTGATCAGCCCTAATCACCTTTATTAAATGCAACCTACTGCTAACAAAATGATTAGGGTAAATCTGAAAGTTTAAAACTCATTTTGTCACTCATCGATTTATATTGTAAACCAAATTTTCTATCAAATTAAAAGATGTTCATTTTCACTAAAAATAAATGAACCAGTGGAATGAAAAGTGGCAAATGTTATGCCAAATGGAATTGGGTTAAACTTCTCGTTAACACAATACATCCTTTATTCTGAGATTCAACATATTTCACCCTGTAAGTATCTCCTACTTCATACACTGTTATAATTCATTTAAAGTAGAATGTCCATGATAACCGCCATGGTAAACGACTTCTTCGATAGTATGTCGAGATTTGGAATTACCAAAGTTTTCTCCATATTTATGAATTAACTGTCAGTCTATACCTTTATATTCAGATGAACCACCGACAAACCACTAGTTTCCATGAAGGTAAGCCATCAAAGTGAATTTCATTTCCCCAAAACATCTACAAATCACTAGTATTTCACATTAAACGTTATAGCAGTTACCACCACACTTTGACAGTGGGTATAACCATCAATTAAGTTGTCATGAAAGTAAGCCATCGGTGTGTATTTTCATTTTAAAAAAACATCCACAAATCAAAAGTACATGTATTTGACATTAAGCGTTATAGCCGTTACCACCAAAATATAGGACTGGAGTACATCCATCAATAAAGTTATTCTTGGATGACGCCTCAGATAACTTTGATAACTTACAGGCGTAAATGGACAATCTTACCGGCAGCCGAGAAGCACCATCGGATTATCAACGGGACATGGTGAGGCCCGTACAAAAATCACAGTTGCGCAAAAAGCGATGTGAGCATGGACGGACCGAGGCCCTCCTCTGGATATTCAAACCTTGACATTTGGGGCCCCTTCAATCCATGGTAGGCCCTTGTGGCGCTTGACATTCGAGAATTCGGTGTAATCCGGCGATGTCGCGTCGTACTTTCGACTGGTATCTGTGCTTGTCATTTCTTTTTATTTAGCGTGAAAAGGATATCAAGAAAAATCCTCTTTAGTGGCAATGTTTTGGTTACATCTTTTTGTACTACTAGGAACTGGAATCAAGGTAACTTTGAACCCATTAATATTCGGCTTTTGAAGGCAGAATCTGTCGAAAATGTTATTGGTAATATCCGAACGTATCCTTTTCTTTTTGTTGCTAGTGAATCGATGGACGACGCCACAATATTCATATTGGAGTTTTATAGCGAACTTAGATTGACGTACGTAATTGTAGTTAGCTGTATAATTTTTTCCATGCGTACATCACATCATAGTTACATATCGTATGGCTCTTACATTACGTTCGTTACTATGTCATAACGTTACGGCCTTTGATCCAGGATATGACTCTCCGTAACAAGATCTCCCCGTTATTACTGATCAATTTCAAATTAGGTTTGATGCATTTACATTCATACGTGTGGAATAATACTGCCTAAGTTCTGGTCACTTGTTTAGGTTGTGGGCTCAAGGGCCCCCGTCATGGTTAATCCGCTGCTGAGAAAGCAGGTATTGAACTCATTTCCTGTAAATGCACCAAGCCTGAAGTATAGTGCTAACAGCTGTAAGATTTAGTGACTTGAGGATGCATTTTGAAAATGACAATGTTCGAAGCGTGTTGATATTGATGCCAACGGTTGTTTAGGTTTAATCAGGTGTCAAGAACCAGTGTCCCGAGTTCATTAGCTTATTCAGAGCAGAACAGTTGGGCATTAAACCCCCATTTCATTTCATAGTCAAGAACTAGTAGGACAATGTATAATTGGACCTCGGTTTTACGTCCCATCCAAGTGACTATACGGAATGATTTGGATCATAAGCCAAACCTTAACCTTATGGGTTTTCTCCTTCAACACAGTTATCCGCACTTCTCGCATCCGGAAAAATTTTACATAAAGAATTCGATTCCATGTGATTTAAAGATACTGTTTTATTTGGTGATATTAGAAACTTCTTCGGTGTTTTAAACCTGATTTCGTGGAAATTAAAATAAGTTCGGGTGGTGTATAACGTGTAATTAAAAGAGAACGTGTAGCTATACTGGATAATAACTTATGTAATAAATGGTATACGCGGCTTGAAGTTCCAAGTAGGTTTAACGAGTGTCTGTGCCACAGTGACATTTTATTCAAAGCAATTTAATGTAGGAGTTCTGGATTATGTATATGTCGTCGCGTTGTTTGAAACCGTAGTTTGGGCAAACTCTTTTTAGTACCCTTTAAAAATCAATTCAATTTAGAGGAACCGTAGTGACATTTTGTTTACTTAACTCGGAGATTCGTAGCAGATCAATAATAACAATTAATGAAGATGGGAAGAAAGTTATGTACAGAAAGTTCACAGAAGAATATTATTGTTATTCAGTGTTATTTTGGTTCATTACTTATGATTTATTTGATTAAGCTGATGACTTAGAGATATAACATTCTATGGAAAAAAATTTGGATCCGGAGTCATTATATATTAGTATTTAGTCAGCTAGTCTAAAATGAAGGTGTTATTTTTTGCTGCGGTATTATTTATCGTTGATATCAGATAATAGGAAATTTCGAATCTTAGATAATTAACATTTTCAAGTATGGATTTTGTGTATTATTTTAAAATTTGTGACGTCGATTAGGGTAAAAAGAGGTCTATATTCGGTTACGTAATTTTAACAAAGGTTGTCATAATCTACTGTAAGGTATAAAGTTACATAATATGTAATAAGACATTAATGAATTGATAGGCTATTTATAGTAATAATGTAGGTTTTAACATCAAAATATAATTGTATTAATTGTAATAATGAAATTATCAATAATGGTGTAAGATACACAAAACAATAATACAGATATTAATATATAAATGTTTCTATAGTACCTAATATTTTATGTCATAAATATCTATGTGAACTCATCTAACTATGAGTAAAGGAATGGCGTTTAACGTCTCGTTAACACAGTATTTGGTCATTTTGAGCCTCATATAGGATATTACATTTACTATAGTCATGTGCGCAATGCTTTGGTTGGGTGGGAATATTTCTTCACCTAACAGCAGCGTTTCTTCTATACTTTTATTCGAATGAGTAAAGGAGTGAGGTTTAACGTCTCGTCAACACAGTATTTGGTAATTCATTTTTACTATAGTCACGTGCGCAATGCTTGGGGTTTGATCGGGATATTTCTTCACCGAAAAGCAGCGGTTTTTTTTATACTTTTATTCCAATTCCAAATGTTACGAGTTAATTTACGTGCAGGTCGTTGTCCACATCTGGACTAAATAATAATGGTCAATTGAACAAATACAACAAAGAAATAAATAAATAGTTTTGTGTATTTGATTAATCGTCGTCCATCATATTAAGACATTTGTTCTTTATTTCCAATACCTTTAGATATATGGTAAGTTTAAAGTTCCTATTGATTTCACGATGTCAGTATCTAACCTATAATTTTAAATTACTAGTACTATTGTTCTCTTGAATTTTGTTTTACCGGCATTCTGTCATATAATCAGTTTAATAATTACAAATCAGTATCAATATTTATAGATTTTAACATACAGGGTATCATACGTGTAGCACCTGTTGTAATTTGGAAGATTTTCGATATAAAATACAATATTGTCAATATATTTTAAGGGAATTCTTTTAATAAATGTGCGTAAAAATGGTTTAAATAAGCATCAGTATTTTGTAATAATCTTAAATAGATGTGCGTAAAATATGTTTCATCAAAGAATCCGTATCGAATGTGGACCTATTCAAATTGATAATGTCCCATTATTGTACGAAAACCACTGGATATAATTTGGAGAATTTTGCTATAAAATAATACGATATTTTCAACATTTTTTATGGGAATTATTTAATGATTGTACGTATCCATATTTTGTAACAATCAACAAAATGTCGAATGTGGGCCTATTCAGATTGACAGTGTACAGGTATTGTATACAGAGTCTGGTACTGGTAGCACCTGTTGTAATTTGCGAGATTTGAATATAAAATACGATATTTTCAACATATTTCATGGAAATTATTTGAATGGTTAACAATCTACGAAGTGTCGAATGTGGACCTACTCAGATAGATAATGTCCCAGTATTGTACGAACCACTCTGGGTAAATTTCAAGTAAAATCTCTTTAAAGGAAGTATTCATTTCTTACAATGTCTGTGTTGTTTATCTTGTCCGCAGGTTTATCTTACTAGGTTTATTTTACTTGTAGTGTGGTCATCCTGCACTAACTATTAAATGTTGTAAAGATATGTTTTATATCATAATCTCCTCTAACTATAATTCGTCCCCAAGTATAAAACTTTTCAACATTCTTCTTTTGATCCCACGATGCCATTATCTAACCTACCATTATAAATTACTAGTACTATCGTCTCTATAATTTTTGTTTAACATACAGGGTCTCGTATATATATAATAAATGTAGCCCCTGGTGTAATTTGGGGGCTTTTGATATAAAATACGATAATTTCAACATGTTTCAAGGAAATTATTTTAATGAATGTGCGTAAAATATGTTTTAAATAAGCATCTGTATTTTATAACAATAATAGGAATGTCGAATGTGGACCTATTCAGATTGATAGTGTCCCAGAATTGTACGAATCAAAATCTCTCTAAAGGTGGTGTTTATTTCGTGCAATGTCTATGTTGTTTATCTTCTTATCGATTTAGTTTTACTAGTAGTGCGGTCCTCCTGCACCTACTATTAAATGTTGATGATATATGTTCACATCACATGTGTATAATAGTAATGATGATATTATCAATAAGGGTAGATAAGATATAAAACATAACTTACACCTGGGCTATCCTGTAAAATATACAAAACAATAATATAGATAATATATAAATGTTTCTAAACTATTATAATATTTTATATCAAAAATACCTAGGTGAACTCCTGTAACTATGAGTAAATGGGGTTTAACGTCTCGTCAACACAGTATTTGGTAATTCATTTTTACTATAGTCACGTGCGCAATGCTTGGGGTTTGATCGGGATATTTCTTCACCGAAAAGCAGCGGTTTTTTTTATACTTTTATTCCAATTCCAAATGTTACGAGTTAATTTACGTGCAGGTCGTTGTCCACATCTGGACTAAATAATAATGGTCAATTGAACAAATACAACAAAGAAATAAATAAATAGTTTTGTGTATTTGATTAATCGTCGTCCATCATATTAAGACATTTGTTCTTTATTTCCAATACCTTTAGATATATGGTAAGTTTAAAGTTCCTATTGATTTCACGATGTCAGTATCTAACCTATAATTTTAAATTACTAGTACTATTGTTCTCTTGAATTTTGTTTTACCGGCATTCTGTCATATAATCAGTTTAATAATTACAAATCAGTATCAATATTTATAGATTTTAACATACAGGGTATCATACGTGTAGCACCTGTTGTAATTTGGAAGATTTTCGTTATAAAATACAATATTGTCAATATATTTTAAGGGAATTCTTTTAATAAATGTGCGTAAAAATGGTTTAAATAAGCATCAGTATTTTGTAATAATCTTAAATAGATGTGCGTAAAATATGTTTCATCAAAGAATCCGTATCGAATGTGGACCTATTCAAATTGATAATGTCCCATTATTGTACGAAAACCACTGGATATAATTTGGAGAATTTTGCTATAAAATAATACGATATTTTCAACATTTTTTATGGGAATTATTTAATGATTGTACGTATCCATATTTTGTAACAATCAACAAAATGTCGAATGTGGGCCTATTCAGATTGACAGTGTACAGGTATTGTATACAGAGTCTGGTACTGGTAGCACCTGTTGTAATTTGCGAGATTTGAATATAAAATACGATATTTTCAACATATTTCATGGAAATTATTTGAATGGTTAACAATCTACGAAGTGTCGAATGTGGACCTACTCAGATAGATAATGTCCCAGTATTGTACGAACCACTCTGGGTAAATTTCAAGTAAAATCTCTTTAAAGGAAGTATTCATTTCTTACAATGTCTGTGTTGTTTATCTTGTCCGCAGGTTTATCTTACTAGGTTTATTTTACTTGTAGTGTGGTCATCCTGCACTAACTATTAAATGTTGTAAAGATATGTTTTATATCATAATCTCCTCTAACTATAATTCGTCCCCAAGTATAAAACTTTTCAACATTCTTCTTTTGATCCCACGATGCCATTATCTAACCTACCATTATAAATTACTAGTACTATCGTCTCTATAATTTTTGTTTAACATACAGGGTCTCGTATATATATAATAAATGTAGCCCCTGGTGTAATTTGGGGGCTTTTGATATAAAATACGATAATTTCAACATGTTTCAAGGAAATTATTTTAATGAATGTGCGTAAAATATGTTTTAAATAAGCATCTGTATTTTATAACAATAATAGGAATGTCGAATGTGGACCTATTCAGATTGATAGTGTCCCAGAATTGTACGAATCAAAATCTCTCTAAAGGTGGTGTTTATTTCGTGCAATGTCTATGTTGTTTATCTTCTTATCGATTTAGTTTTACTAGTAGTGCGGTCCTCCTGCACCTACTATTAAATGTTGATGATATATGTTCACATCACATGTGTATAATAGTAATGATGATATTATCAATAAGGGTAGATAAGATATAAAACATAACTTACGCCTGGGCTATCCTGTAAAATATACAAAACAATAATATAGATAATATATAAATGTTTCTAAACTATTATAATATTTTATATCAAAAATACCTAGGTGAACTCCTGTAACTATGAGTAAATGGGGTTTAACGTCTCGTCAACACAGTATTTGGCCATTTAGAGACCCATATACGATATGGAATTTATTACTGTCACGTCCGGAATGCTTAGTCGGTGGGGGTATTCACCTGGTAGCAGCGTTTCTTCTTCGAATTCCAAGTGTCAACAGTTCTTTTACGTGCTCGTCATAGAGTACATGTTGACTAAATAACAGTTTATTTATTGTTAAACACAAGAAATAAATACATAAATATTATTCGGTATTTGACTAATCGTCCTCCAATCACAAAAAGGTTAAATTTATATTTTCTATCAATTTTTCGATGTCATTATCAGCGTTTCTTTTATAATTTGTTATTTTTATATATATATAGACAACACCTTAGATATATGGTAAATATTGAGTTCCTATTGATTTCACGATGTCATTATCTAACCTACAATTTTAAATTACTAGTACTATTGTTCTCTACAATTTTTTTGTTTTACCGCCATTCTGTATATTCAGTTTAAAAATTACAAATCAGTATCAATATTTTAGGTGCAATGTAAATATTTTCCACAACACACTAGAGTTTAACATTCAGGGACTAGTCCGTGTAGAACTGGATATAATTTGGAGGATTTTGATTTATAATACGGTAATTTCAAAATGTTTTATGGCAATTCCTTAATGACTGTATGTGAAATATGTTTTATATAAGCATCCCTATGTTGTAACAATCTATGAAGTGCCGAATGTGGAACTATTCAGATTGAGTACGAACCGCTCTGGGTAAATTTCAAGCAAAATCTCTCTAAAGGGAGTGTTTATTTCTTACAATGTTTGTGTTTGTTTGTCTTGTCCTCGGGTTTGTCTTATCGTTTATGTTTTGCCTGTCCCACGATCCTCGTGTAGTGTTGTTCGAATAATGTTTCTTCTGTTCTTATTCAAATTCCTAACGCTTTGAGTTATACACGCCGTAATAAATAACAGAAATAACATCTTGTATGTCTTTAATCGCAATCCATACGAGTACAACACTCCAGAAAAACGATAAATATATATTTAGTACACGATGCGCCATTATCTAATCTACAATTGTTTTTCTATCAATCTTTTGTTGTTATCTAAATGCTTTTATTTATTTAATGCCCTTCTGGCATGACGTAAGTTTATTAATTACAAATCAGGGTCAATATTTAAGGTTAAAGTATCAAAGCTCGGAAATTATGGAGAAAGATCCCCCACCTCTATTTTATTTGCATGATATCAAACGGCTCTAAATCAAAACGGCCCCATAATTTGGTCAAAGCAGACATAATGTTTAGTCAAAACACGACTTCCTTGATCGATATTGGATTCAACCAGATTAAAGGGAGGCCCATCAACGATTTTATCCGACATTTCAAATCTGACTTGTATATATCGTCGACAGAGGATGCTAATTTTTGTGAAATTTTAAATTCATATCTTTGTAAATACTGAACCTAATTGAACCCTAAATCTGTCTATCTATCAGGTAAATTGGTGTTATCTTCTTGTTTGGCGACCTTTAAATAATGTCGTAATTACGAGATAATCAGAATACTTTTTTTTCCCATTTCATTGACCCTAATCGTCTTCTACACATGTCATAATTATGCGGTAGTATCTGGCAATCAGAATATAATTTTTCATTTGATTGACTCTAATGGCCTCCCGTAATGTATTTATTAACAGTATACACATCTATTAGAATTAATATCACAGTATCTAAAAATTTGAAAACATGGACCTTATGTGAGTATATCAATCTCGTAGTGTTAATATTTCACCCAGGAGTTTACATTATATCTAACCCAACAATAAATATTTCATCTATTATTTATTCTCGCTAAGTATATCAAACCATATTTGTTATAAAAGAAATTTTATAAATAACGATATTTTCAACATGTTTTATGGGAATTATTTAATGATAGTGCGTAATCAGATTGTTAGCGTTCCAGTATTGTACGAACCACTAAGGATAACTTTCAAGCATTAAACAGAATCTCTCTAAAAGAATTTTTTTTCTTGCAATGTCTGTGTTGTTTGTCTTGTTATCGATTTAGTTTTACGTGTAGTGCGGTCTTCCTGCACTTACTATTAAATGTTGATGAGATATATTTACATCGCATGTGTATAATGGTAATAATGATATTATCAATAATGGTAGATATAAAACATAACTTATCTCCACGCATTCCTGTAAAATACACAAAACAATAATTTAGATATTAATATATAAATGTTTCTAAACTACTGTATTATAATATTTTATATCATAAATACCTAGGTGAACCCCTCTAACTATGAGTAAAGGAATAGGGTTTAACGTCTCGTCAACACAGTATTTTGGCCATTTTGAGCCCCATATACCATATGGAATATATAACAATTACAGTCACGCCCAAAATGCTTCGTGGGAGGGGATATTCAGAGAACAGGAGTGTTTCTTCTTCGGATTCCAGGTGTCATCAGTTGAATAATTACAAATCAGTATCAATATTTATAGAGTTTAACATACAGGGTACCATACGTGTAGCACCTGTTGTTATTTGGAAGATTTTCGATATAAAATACATTATCTTCAATATATTTCAAGGAAATTCTTTTAATGAATATGCGTAAAAAATGTTTTAAATAAGCATCGGTATTTTGTATAATCTTAAATAAATGTGCGTGAAATATGTTTCATCAATGAATCCGTATTTTGTAACAATCTATGAAGTGTCAAATGTGGACCTATTCAGATTGAGAGAGAGAGAGAGAGAGAGAGAGAGTGAGAGAGAGAGAGAGAGAGAGAGACGTTTAACGTCCACTCGACACAAACTAGGTCATTTCGGGACTAACATATGGTTCAATTTTATTTCAATAATTCGCTTGCGCGTAAGGGTCTTCAGCAGTGGGAGGAAACCGGAGGACCCGGAGAAAACCCACGAGGTTAGACAGACGACACTACTCTTTGTCATGTACAAGCTTGGGCTGGAAACCACACCACTTGACTCAATGACAGACACACAGACAAGGGCGGCTTCATTATGTTCACATTATGAAATGAAATGGGGTTTAACGTCCTACTGTTCTGCTCCGACTGAGCTAATGAAGACGGTTCACATTATGAATGTGGACGTATACAAATGGATACGAATGCAACTCAAACTGCAATGTGAGTGTGAATCTACTTCCACTTGATCAACCATTTTCTTAATTGCCAGATTTTTGTTATGAATAACATTGATAACTGAGCTAATGAAGACGGTTCACATTATGAATGTGGACGTATACAAATGGATACGAATGCAACTCAAACTACAATGTGAGTGTGAATCTACTTCCACTTGATCAACCATTTTCTTAATTGCCAGTTTTTTGTTATGAATAACATTGATAATGAAAGTCGACAACACGACAACCCGACATCACGACAACCTGACATCACGACAACCCGACACCACGACATTTTTACCCGACATCACAACATTTTTACCCGACATCACGACATTTTTAGTGTCGTAATGTCGGGTAAAAATGTCTTGATGTCGGGTAGAAATGTCGTGATGTCGGGTTGTTGGGTAGAAATGTCGTGATGTCGGGTTGTCGGGTTGTCGCGTTATGAAAGGCGACATCACGACATTACGACATGATACCAATCAGTCACCATACGTCGTTGAGTACGTCAAGATCGCCATAAGCGTGATAAAAGCGTGGAAAAACGCCAGATATCGCGCTGTGGTCTCGATGGTCGCATGTTGACTAAATAACAGTTTATTTATTGTTAAACACAAGAAATAAATACATAAATATTATTCGGTATTTGACTAATCGTCCTCCAATCACAAAAAGGTTAAATTTATATTTTCTATCAATTTTTCAATGTCATTATCAGCGTTTCTTTTATAATTTGTTATTTATATATATATAGACAACACCTTAGATATATGGTAAATATTGAGTTCCTATTGATTTCACGATGTCATTATCTAACCTACACTGAAAAAACACTTGTGTTGGATCTCAACACAAGTACTTGTGTTAAAACTAATCTACACAAGTTATGTGTTGTTTTGCATTGCATTAACACAAACTTGTGTCGATTTATAAAATCTTGTGTGTTTTTTCATATCATTAACACAAGTAATGTGTACCTTCCACGATTTGTTTTCTTTTTAAGAAAAAAACTCCATACAAAGTCTGAATTCGGGAGTCGTCAAGTTTTAAGAAAAGTAATAAAGGGCTTAATTCACATCTCGAAAATCACTGGAAGGGAGTGAGTACCAATTAATCAGACAATTGCCAGACAGACTTGAATGTTAATTGGTGTTAAGTTGTCTGTATAGTTAAAATGTCTGTCTTTTTTTATTGACCCAATAAACTGATAGACCAAATGAATATATAGTGTACATGTGATTTTCAGCACCCTGGTGTTTTCGAAAATTGATTCAATGTGCAATGAACAAAAAAAATGAGTAAAACTCTTAATAATGTAATTGGTTGATGTAATCGAAATTGGACAGTATTGGTTAACTGAAAAGTAACCAATCAAATTTAATTGATCATCCACGTGTATCTCATAATCGACTTATTGATATAATGGTTCTCCAAGTTATCTATACTTTTTGTCTGCGATATCCCTTCGGTGGAAGCGGGCGTAAAATACAACTAACTAAGAAGAAGTATCTATACTTTAGTCATTGCGACAAATTCTTTCTTTGATATTATATCAGCGACATTCAGTTAGATGTAGTGACGTTAGCATCAACAGAGTGCTTTAGCCGTGATATTTTTTTTAAAAAAAATTATAATGGTCACATAGAATACCAGACCGCAGGTTTGTAAATTTTTACAAAAAATAAAACCGTGTATTTAATTTAGCATGTATATATTGCTTCTATGTATATAATAATTCGTTTCGTTTAAAACAGTCAGATTTAGAACCACTGCCACTGACTGCACCGGAATTCTATTTATATAATGGCGCCGCAAAGAAATTTTTTTGGATGTGTTCTAAAAGTGTTCCGCTAATTCAGCAATCTAATGAAACTGTCTTAATTTTTCTGAAATCGTGCTTAATTATTATTAGCTAATCGGCGCTACACCGTTGTTCAAATACTTATAATTGCAAGAAACCCCCGACTAGGACCAGCAGGTAAGAATCTGTCTTGATTTTATAGTAATGCCCGGTTGCAATTATTGGCCGCCATCTTTGATTTTTATAGACGTTCGGGCCAAAAAAAAAGGAGAAATGTATATCCAGACATGGACTATAGCTAGATACTAACTTTTGTGTTAGTTGTTTATTTGAAATGTAATCTTAATATTTCTGTAAAAGAAAAAAAACAACAACAAACAAATCAGCCTTTTTTTAATATCAATGTCATCAATGTGTAGGCCTAATAATTAGACTTTCAATGATTCAGAAGTTTCTCTACAGTTTCGTTATTTTTTTTCCAGTCATTGATGTTAGCATATGTACTACACAAAGAAAAACAGGTAACAGAATTTCATTTCCTTTTAATATATTTTTTAAATAATGGCCAATAATTGTTATTGTATGTAACAGGAAAAGTATTTATCTCTGTAGAGAGAGGGCGAGTAAATGGGGTTTAAAATTCACTAAATTCACTTGACACAAACTATGCCATTCATTTCCTTGTATTAAATTGGTCGAATCAATGATGGGTTAGTTGTATTTTACGTCCGCTTCCACCGAGGTGATATCGCAGACAAGGTCGAATCAAGTAGGCCCATGCTTTATGTCCTAGAATCAAGTAGGACGGGTAGTCTTCTTCCGTTTCCGCCCTTTTCCTGAACACTGTCTCATTCTATTGCCATCTGTGTATGTTGTGTTATATTAATTCTGCATAAACCTAGAGTTGTTGTTAGTGTTTGTCGGATAGATCCTTTATACTTACTGGCGCTAGGTAATTTTGAGGCTAATATTGTTCAATTTTATTTGAATGATTTGCTTGCGCGTACCGTAGGAGTGTATTAGAAACAGTGTTCGCGCAGGTTCGAGAACGGCTGAAGAACATGAAAACACTTTCATGAGTCTCGAACATGAGAGAACGGTATCCATGGTAACAAGATGAATTAAATTTATACAATCTGTTACGATAACTTGTTTGGTATTGACCTTGCTATTAGGCATACTTATGATAAATTATGACTCCATTTTACTCCTTTTCAATTCTTTGGATGACGATTACATCACCTTTTGATACGCCCACATGGAAATGTGGTCGCATATTGTCATCGCCCTCGTCCGTAGGTTTGTCCGTCGTCTACAGACCTGATTATTTTGAAATTGATATGTTGTTTATTTTAATGAGATGAATCCTATTTAATTTCAATAATTTCCGTTAGTTTCTTCTGGAGTTATGGCCCTTGTTTCACTTTGTGAAATTCATTTGCATCTTTTAAATTAGTAAAACGAAGACGTCTATTAAATTTCTGCGATTTCCGTGAATTATGTCTAGAGTTGTGGCCCTTGTTTCACTTTTTCGAACCTTGTGAACGCGCGAACAACAAAATTATCATCCGATTTGTATGCATTATTTAAATTAGTAAAACACAAAACAAAAAAATCTGTCAAATTTCAACAATTAAGGCCCTTGTTTCAGTTTGTAGAACCTTTGTAAACCCACAAACGACAAAAATTATAATCTTTTCTTGTAAATGCCCACATTACCTACAAAAGAATGAATATGCGACAATCCCTGTTGACTGAGCAAACGATTAAACTGCTGTGGGCATATGTTTCGTTGCCTGGCAACCTAACTTATTTGATGTTATACTGGCCACATACTACAACCAATTTTCGAACGGTATTAAACTTTTAAATTAATAAATGCACCCATGATGCTGTTTTCTCAGCAGTTATCGATGCGTCGACCATGTTTGTTCTCCCTCACACCAGCTATGAGGTAGTGTGGGATTTGAGAACGGGAAAGTGTTCGTGAACGCATTCCAGACTGCTCAAGTCCGACAAGAACCCATTCTCCGTCCGTTCTCTGCACCGGAACACTGTTTCGAATACACCCTAGGGGTATTTAGCAAAGGGAGGAAACCGGAGGACCCGGAGAAAACCCACAAGGCTGGACAGGCGACCTTATTCCTAGTCACATTCAAGTGGGGAATCACATAATAATGGCCTATTTCAAATAAGATATTTGCATATAAAGAAAGTAGGCCTACAGCCTCTTTCAAATGTGATATTTGCATATAAAGAAAGTACAAACTTAAATCGTCAGTACTGGATAAACTAGCCAAAGGATTCGGCTGAATCAATTGGCGCTAAACTTCACCTAGTTTATCCACTGACATACGCCCGAATCAAACATGTTTAATATATTTGGTCGAATTGTATTTGAGTGGTGTGTCCTGCTGTTCGCTTCGCCGAAGCATTCGTCTGATTTTAGAATTCATTAGCCAATCACCACTCATTTATATCGAGTGGGTATCACAAACTAGCAGTCGAACTGTGACACGGGTGCTACAGCCAACAAATTCCAACTACCATACTATCGGCTTAAATGCACGCCAATTGGACCTCAGGTTTTGTGTTCCATTGAAACTACTAGAAATGAAATGGGGTTTAACGTCCTACTATTTTGCTCCGAACTGGGCTAATGAAGACAGGCATACACCACACAGTGTGCTATGAGGGAAATTTTGCCCGGACAGCGGCACTGCGGTGTATCGAATTCCAACTGTCAAGGGATCTTTTACGTGGACGCCAACGTGTACACGGGACCTCGTTTTTTCGTATCATCCGAATGACTAGACAACTGTCCTTGTCAGGCCCTCCATCCTGCATCACTGACAAGGGGGAACCACGCCGGAAAATCTGGGTGAACTTTCTCGGCCAATGCAGGGATCGAACACCCTACCTCCAGGCTAGCGAGCCAGCGTCTTACCCACTTAGCCACCATGACGACTAGACAGGGAATCCATGCTGAAAAATCCAAATGAGCTTTCTCGGTCAACACTGGGAGCAAACCTACAAACTCCCGGGTAGCAAGCCAGTGCCTTACACACTAAGCCACATGGCTCTCTTCTAATTACTGTGACAGTCCAGTCACATGACAAACAAGGGTTATTAAAACAGATTTTCACAGCTTCGGTAAGATCTTCGGGATTCAAATGGTTTTAGATATCACACAGTTTGTATATGGTAAGGTATCTTAAACAGTTAATTACATGTCACATATTTATATTTTTCAGTTTCCATATTAGATGCCATAGCAAATCAAAGATCATATAATAAAATAAGTCAAAAAACCCAAATATGGGAAAAAAAAGAGCTGAAGAAATGGTGATTTGAGCACCTATGATTTCTCATAGTTGTTTTTTGAGGGTGAGTGTTCAATTCTAATAGAAAAGATTGTTGTTGTGGTATTTTAGAATCTTACCATAATGTGTTTGGCACAATATAGCCCGGTTGGAGCTGATGTGACATAAACCTTAATTTCATTTTATTATTTGGAATTTAAAATTCAGTTTAGTATAGTAAAACTGTGAAGTACATGTATGTGCACAGACAGAATCTTACTTATGTCCAGATACATGTAGATATGACTATCTCATCTGTGGGGACCTACGGTGACCAAGTGGGTTAGACACTGGTTCGCATATTTTAAGGTCGCGGGTTTGCAGTAAGACAATGCAGAACGGAGGGCCTTACAAGGACAGCTGTCTAGTCGTTCAGATTGAACAAAAACGTGGTCCTGTGTACATATTGGCGTGCATGTAAAATAGCCCCTGGCAGTTAGAATTTGATACAAGAGTAGGCCTTAGGGTCACGGTACCCGGCAAAATTTCTCTCATAGCACACTGTATGGCATATGCCCAACCTCATTAGCCCAGTCGGAGCTGAACAGTAGGACGCCGAACCCCATTCCATTTCATTTTTTTCATTTTGTCTCATCTGTGACAAAGCAAACCAACACATTACAATACAATGTAATTAAATTAAAACTTTCATCTTTTAACTGTCGAGTCGATTTAAGTCAACTAATACATAGTATGTTTTTTTTCTCCGTTAACTACATCAGAAAGATCAAGACAGTTGAAAATGGCTATTCATATTATGGAAACTTTTTCTCACAGAGCTTGATAATCAGGTAAAATGTAAGTAACATACATATTTGTATTTTTAATCATCAACTAGTTCTATACACTTGCTTGGTAATCTAGTTATTCTTCTTGGGGCAATGCCTAGGACTCAGCTATTTCAAGTACTTGGCATGCTTGATTTTTGCCAATCACATCCATTACAGTAAATAGCAGTAAAATAATGATGGACAATATTTTACTTTTCAAATAGATTTCAATAGATTTTAAAGGGTAATATCCAATTTGTTGTCAATGAAAATAAAATAAGAATGGGTCCAAAAATAATTAGACATTGCCAAGTAAATAGGTGCTGCCAATGATGTAGTAGGGAATCTGGATTTGCAGACAATACATGTATGAACCGGGTGAATAGTTGACCTATTATGAGACTTCAGTCCCAAATCTCAAGACTTTTTTCTGACTTGGCCTGACAATGACAGCTGTCTAGTCCTTCCGATGAGACGAATATTGGAATGCATGTAAAAGATCCCCTGGCAGTTGGAATTCGATATAAGAATAGATGATAGTGCCGCTGCCCGGGCAAAAATTCCCTCATAGCACACTGTGTGGCATATGCCCGTCATTATTAGCCCAGTATAGGAGCAGAACAGTAGGACGTTAAACCCCATTTCATTTCATTTTTCTGACTTTTAACCCATTTGATTTGAGCATAATAATCTGCCTGGGTCTTTAAGTGGACAAGACACAATAAGCGTTACGCAAAGTTGAAACCAAATAGAGACTCAGTCTCGATGTGGCAAAATAAATTGTTTATTTAAACATTGTATTCTTATTGCCTACTTTTTATTTTTTAGGCTGGAACACCCTTGAAAGAGTATTTGGTGTATGATAACAACAAGAGAACCCAAGCATCAATTTATTTTATACTTCTGGGAAAGAATGCATTTGACCCAATTTTTAAATATTTATTTTTTGTTATTAATGTTAAATTTTCTTCCAAAACACAATTAGATTTTAATTCTCTTCAAATATGTATGTATAATATAGCAAGTAAACTGACATATAAATCACTTAGAATTTGGTCGGAAATCATAAAGTATTTAATAGGCATTACTAGAAACCAAATGTAGATCAAATACACCCAGAATTACAAAAAACCTTGACCTACATTAAGGTGACTTTCCCTTGCTTATGAAATGAAATACGTTTTAATATCCTGCTTTTCTGTGTTCTTAGAGTGATTCTACCCTACCCTTATATCAAATATTTCAACTGTCAAGGGTTCTTTAAAGGGTACCCAGGGGGGCCGAATGGTTAACACGCACACATTTGATCAGAAGGTCTGTCATTGATTCAAATAATTCAATTTTCAAGGGTTCTTCAAAGTGTACGCAATTGGGTTGGTTTCAATTCTGGGGGGTGGGGGTGGATGGCCGAATGGTTAGCACGTGCATGCTGTATCATACGGCCTCCTGTCATTGAGTCAACTGGCATGGTTTCGAATCCCCGGTTGTAGACAAGGAGAAGGGTCGCCTGTCCAATCTTGTGGGTTTTCTCCGGGACCTCCGGTTTCCTCCCACTGCTAAAGACCCCTACGCGCTAGCGAATTATTGAAATAAAATTAAACCATATGTTAATCCCAAAATGATCTAGTTTGTGTCGAGTAGATGTTAAACCCCATTTCTCTCTGTCTCTCTCTCTTTTGATTCTGGGCTTGTACCCAATTATCCCTTGCCATATCCAACACTGAAAAGTGGGAACTATGCCGGAAAATCCAGTTGAAATTTCGCGGCCAACGCCTTATGCTCACTGAACCACTGTGGCTTATGACTTGTGATTGTATATAAATCTTTTGTACATATGATATTTTTTTATTTCAATCCTGTAATCTTGATGCTTTGCTTCTTTTATTTATAAAATATTCATTTTGTTTGGGGTTTTTTTAATGAGGAAAAGGCTCTACATCATTTTATTACTCCTGCAAAATAGAGCAATTTTCTTTTGTTAGTTTTCTGTGTATGCTAGTTATTTCTAGATGCCTCACAAATCACTTGTAGTGTGATTTTGTAGCATTTTTCAGTTTTTGAAATTGTTTCAATTTAGTGCATAATTAATCTTATTAGTGCTTAGTTTGGATGTTATTAAATTTAGATATATTTGAATTATATATTTTGGGGTATGGGGTAGGGATACTGTGTACATATCTTTATATTCTCAGTTCTTGTTTTGGGGTAAAGAACAATTTAAATAGCTATTTTATATTTTGTGATGGGTAAAGTGTGTGGGGCAAAAAACAATTTAAATAGCTATTTTATATTTTGTGATGGGTAAAGTGGGGGGGGGGGGGGTCATTATATATAACACAACATAATTTGTATTAGAATTGAAGTCTCTGTTTTTCTGTTAACATTTCAAATATCTATTTAGTTTTGATGTATTAATTTACTTTTTCCTATGATTTTATGAATAAATAATAATCTTACAAATTTTTTTTTTGTTTCCTTCTTTTATCAAACTTTACAGGTCTAACAGAGCAAAGAGAGGGGTCCTGCATAGAAAGGTTGCTATGCTGGATATAAATTGGGGAAAAATACAACACAAGTTTTTGATGATGGTTATACACAAGTTTGTATGAAACCACACAAGTTTCAGAAATTTTAACACAAGTTTCAGAAATTTCAACACAAGTTTCAGAAATTTCAACACAAGTTTCAACACAAGTATTGTGTAGATTTCACACAAGTTTCAACACAAGTTTTGTGTTGTTTGATACATTTTAACACAAGTTTTGTGTTGTTTGATACATTTTAACACAAGTTTTGTGTTGTTTCAACATTTAACACAAGTTTTGTGTTGTTTTAACACAAGTTTGTGTTGTTAAATAGAGACACCTAACTTGTGTTGAATTTAACACAAGTTTGTGTTCTTTCAACACAAGTTTTTTTTCAGTGTACAATTTTAAATTACTAGTACTATTGTTCTCTACAATTTTTTTGTTTTACCGCTATTCTGTCATATATTCAGTTTAAAAATTACAAATCAGTATCAATATTTTAGGTGTAAATATTTTCCACAACACACTAGAGTTTAACATTCAGGGACTAGTCCGTGTAGAACTGGATATATATAATTTGGAGGATTTTGATTTATAATACGGTAATTTCAAAATGTTTTATGGCAATTCCTTAATGACTGTGTGTGAAATATGTTTTATATAAGCATCCCTATGTTGTAACAATCTATGAAGTGCCGAATGTGGAACTATTCAGATTGATAGTGTCATAGTATTGTACGAACCGCTCTGGGTACATTTCAAGCAAAATCTCTCTAAAGGGAGTGTTTATTTCTTACAATGTTTGTGTTTGTTTGTCTTGTCCTCGGGTTTGTCTTATCGTTTATGTTTTGCCTGTCCCACGATCCTCGTGTAGTGTTGTTCGAATAATGTTTCTTCTGTTCTTATTCAAATTCCTAACGTTTTGAGTTATACACGCCGTAATAAATAACAGAAATAACATCTTGTATGTCTTTAATCGCAATCCATACGAGTACAACACTCCAGAAAAACGATAAATATATATTTAGTACACGATGCGCCATTATCTAATCTACAATTGTTTTTCCATCAATCTTTTGTCGTTATCTAAATGCTTTTATTTATTTAATGCCCTTCTGGCATGACGTAAGTTTATTAATTACAAATCAGGGTCAATATTTAAGGTTAAAGTATCAAAGCTCGGAAATTATGGAGAAAGATCCCCCACCTCTATTTTATTTGCATGATATCAAACGGCTCTAAATCAAAACGGCCCCATAATTTGGTCAAAGCAGACATAATGTTTAGTCAAAACACGACTTCCTTGATCGATATTGGATTCAACCAGATTAAAGGGAGGCCCATCAACGATTTTATCCGACATTTCAAATCTGACTTGTATATATCGTCGACAGAGGATGCTAATTTTTGTGAAATTTTAAATTCATATCTTTGTAAATACTGAACCTAATTGAACCCTAAATCTGTCTATCTATCAGGTAAATTGGTGCTATCTTCTTGTTTGGCGACCTTTAAATAATGTCGTAATTACGAGATAATCAGAATACTTTTTTTTCCCATTTCATTGACCCTAATCGTCTTCTACACATGTCATAATTATGCGGTAGTATCTGGCAATCAGAATATAATTTTTCATTTGATTGACTCTAATGGCCTCCCGTAATGTATTTATTAACAGTATACACATCTATTAGAATTAATATCACAGTATCTAAAAATTTGAAAACATGGACCTTATGTGAGTATATCAATCTCGTAGTGTTAATATTTCACCCAGGAGTTTACATTATATCTAACCCAACAATAAATATTTCATCTATTATTTATTCTCGCTAAGTATATCAAACCATATTTGTTATAAAAGAAATTTTATAAATAACGATATTTTCAACATGTTTTATGGGAATTATTTAATGATAGTGCGTAATCAGATTGTTAGCGTTCCAGTATTGTACGAACCACTAAGGATAACTTTCAAGCATTAAGCAGAATCTCTCTAAAAGAATGTTTTTTCTTGCAATGTCTGTGTTGTTTGTCTTGTTATCGATTTAGTTTTACGTGTAGTGCGGTCTTCCTGCACTTACTATTAAATGTTGATGAGATATATTTACATCGCATGTGTATAATGGTAATAATGATATTATCAATAATGGTAGATATAAAACATAACTTATCTCCACGCATTCCTGTAAAATACACAAAACAATAATTTAGATATTAATATATAAATGTTTCTAAACTACTGTATTATAATATTTTATATCATAAATACCTAGGTGAACCCCTCTAACTATGAGTAAAGGAATAGGGTTTAACGTCTCGTCAACACAGTATTTTGGCCATTTTGAGCCCCATATACCATATGGAATATATAACAATTACAGTCACGCCCAAAATGCTTCGTGGGAGGGGATATTCAGAGAACAGGAGTGTTTCTTCTTCGGATTCCAGGTGTCATCAGTTGAATAATTACAAATCAGTATCAATATTTATAGAGTTTAACATACAGGGTACCATACATGTAGCACCTGTTGTTATTTGGAAGATTTTCGATATAAAATACATTATCTTCAATATATTTCAAGGAAATTCTTTTAATGAATATGCGTAAAAAATGTTTTAAATAAGCATCGGTATTTTGTATAATCTTAAATAAATGTGCGTGAAATATGTTTCATCAAAGAATCCGTATTTTGTAACAATCTATGAAGTGTCAAATGTGGACCTATTCAGATTTAGAGAGAGAGAGAGAGAGTGAGAGTGAGAGAGAGAGAAAGAGAGAGAGAGAGAGAGACGTTTAACGTCCACTCGACACAAACTAGGTCATTTCGGGACTAACAGACAAGGGCGGCTTCATTATGTTCACATTATGAAATGAAATGGGGTTTAACGTCCTACTGTTCTGCTCCGACTGAGCTAATAAAGACGGTTCACATTATGAATGTGGACGTATACAAATGGATACGAATGCAACTCAAACTGCAATGTGAGTGTGAATCTACTTCCACTTGATCAACCATTTTCTTAATTGCCAGATTTTTGTTATGAATAACATTGATAACTGAGCTAATGAAGACGGTTCACATTATGAATGTGGACGTATACAAATGGATACGAATGCAACTCAAACTACAATGTGAGTGTGAATCTACTTCCACTTGATCAACCATTTTCTTAATTGCCAGTTTTTTGTTATGAATAACATTGATAATGAAAGTCGACAACCCGACAACCCGACATCACGACAACCTGACATCACGACAACCCGACAACTCGACAACCCGACACCACGACATTTTTACCCGACATCACAACATTTTTACCCGACATCACGACATTTTTAGTGTCGTAATGTCGGGTAAAAATGTCGTGATGTCGGGTAGAAATGTCGTGATGTCGGGTAGAAATGTCGTGATGTCGGGTTGTCGCGTTATGAAAGGCGACATCACGACATTACGACATGATACCAATCAGTCACCATACGTCGTTGAGTACATGTTGACTAAATAACAATTTGTTCATCGTTAAACACAAGAAATAAATACATAAATATTATTCTGTATTTGATTAATCGTCATCCACCCAAGTACATAAAGGTTAAATGTATAGTTTCTATTTAATTTTACGATGTCATTATCTAACCTACAATTTTAGATTACCAATACTATTTTTATCTTCAGTTCAATAATTACAAACCGGTATCAATATTTTATGTGTAAATATTTTCCACATATTTGGTGCGTGTAACAAGGGTTGGGTGATAAATAAAATCTCCTACTCAGCTTTTTGAAATCAATACACGTTGATAAACTAACAATAACTCTGTCTATCCTCATTCTTTTTTACATTATCGATATTTTTTTAATATCAAAATAGACTCGTTCGAGATTCTCTATATGCCAGACTGTTTGTGGGGGGAGTAACGTCTAGTGGAAGGAAACGTGAGTTGAGGATCTGAGCAAGCCCACGTGGTTGGGCCGGCGATAGACGTACTAAATGACAGACCTTGATCTAACCAGCACTCGTTAAACCACTAGACCCCCCCCCCCCTTTCCGGCAACCAAATGCATATTTTCAGTGAATTTAAAATTCATACTGAAGTTGGGAGGTTTCACGTATATTTGTGTTAATAGCAGCAATTTGATCTTGTTCTAGATGTTATAATTGTATTCCTCGATTCTAACTAATTCCGAATTGAGATATAAGTATGCCAATTCGGTTTTTGTATGAAATTTTTCATTTTTATTTAATCGACACATTTCTAGATGGTATAAATGTATTCCTTGATTCCGGGTGGTTTAGAACGCGAGAATACTATCAAAACGGGCAAGTTCGTCCATATAGCAACATTGGTAAAGTATTGTTGGCGATGAAATAATTTTCACCAGTAAGTAAAAAATTGAATATATTATATAGCGGTTTAAAGTGGGGTAATCACTTCCGATATAACTGAAAAATGCAAAAATGATCTACACGTGTTTTAACGATTAAAATGCTTCTCTATTTAACTAATGTCTCATCCATATTTAAATGTACTCATATTGGTTATTGAATTCATTAAGAAAACAACATCAAAACACCAATGCTAGATAATGTCCCGTCTTGGATTCAATCGGACTTTTTTTTAAAAAAAAAAAGGTCTCTCATAAATTTCCTTGGACAACAAAGTGGCAAGCAGGCCAAATCGGAATAAAAATTATTGTGACCTCAATAGGATCCACAAGCTAAAACACGTGATATTTCGTACAATCAGAGGCCATAATTCAGGAAGTTACGGT